GAGCCGTTACTAAATCGGCCTGAAGCTTCTCACTGAGAAGCTTGTAGGTGTCACTTTTCTCAGTGAGGTCCCGGACCTCGGCTTCATGATAAGTAAATTCCTCCCGATATCGGAGGAAAGCCTCGTAATACAGTACCGAAACCTACAAGCATAAGGGAAGATGTTGTGGTTATTTACAACTTTAAAAGTTAGAATATATGAGAGAGAAAAGGCATGCCAAATTTACCCGATTTAATGCTTGTTGGGCTTCATTGAATAGACCAGTGGCACTCGACGACGATTCCTTCCTTGATACCGGCAGGTCATCGATCCCGGTGACGTCTTCCAAAGCAGCGGACTCAACCCCATCCAAGAAGTCGTGGATATCGGTCACCCCCTGAGGACTCAACATTCCGGCCTCACGGATCATGGAATTCGAAATCTGAGGAGACCCGCTGAGGTCGACTGCTCTAAGTTCGTCTATTGGGGTGCCTTCCCCGCTCTCTCTCTCGACCCCCTTAGCTTGGGGCGGAATGGGCTTGACCCTTTCTGGCTCGGAAGCTTCAACCAGAGCTCCATTACCGACCTCTTCATGTCGGGATGCTTCAACTTCAGCGCTCGTCGGCTCTAGAACTTCTTGTACGCTGACGTCGGCCCGCATACGGGCCACCAATTCAGAATTACCTTCCTCGTCTTCTTCGGACTCATCCCTTAATTGGCGGATTGAATCTGAAGACATAGCACCGGTGTCCCCCCCGGGCTTGCGAGATCTCCTCGTCGGTTTTTCTTTTCTGAGCCTGGGGAACTCGGAGCCCCTTTCCTCTTCTTCTCTTTGGTCTGCTTCGGAGTAGGAGGGTGGGAAAAGACTTCTTCGTCACCAGATGGGGCCCTCATTGCAACATCCTTTCCGAGAACTACAAAGGAAAAAAGATGAGTAAGCTCGAGAAAAAGCCTGAACGATCACCGTTCTAAGAAAGAAACTTACCATGATTGCGGGCCTCTCATCGAACCTTCGACAACTCCATCCAAGCACTCTCTGAGTACGACCTCTGTAACACAAGGCCTTTGACCCATTTTTTAAGTTCCTGAATTGGGTCCGGCATCCGGGCCACAGCTGCGACACCAAAAAATATCAATGAAGAAAGAAATAAGAAGAAAAGCGGCAAGATTAAACCTTCAAAGCAAAGTACTACTTACGTTTCATGTTCTATTTCTCGGAAAATGGCATATCTTCAGCAGGGATCAGGTCCGAAGTCCTTACTCGAACAAATTGGCCCATCCAACCTCGGTCCAGACCTTCATCGAGAACGGAGCCTTACTGGCTCGGCGAGCAAGCTTGATCAGCCCCCCTCGATAGAGTCGGGGACGGTAGAGGCGCATAAGGTGGTCGAGGGTAAAGGGACATCCTTCGATTTTGTTTACAAAAAATCTGAGGAGAATAACTATTCTCCAGAAGGAGGGGTGGATCTGACCGAGGGTCACATCATACCTCTTGCAAAAGGCAATGATGATGGGGTCTAAGGGACCCAACGTAAAGGGGTAAGTGTAAACACTTAGAAACCCCTCCACGTGGGTAGTGATCGATTCCTAGGGCGAAGGAACCACCACATGCTTATTGACCCAGTTACAGTCCTGTTTAACCCTAGCGAGGAGTTTTTCGGTGATTGTGCATATGTACCTCGAGACCGGCTCATATCGGCCTGTTACCAAGGAGGTCTTTTCGATCCTAAAATCAGTAACAGTCGGGCACCCTGTCGGAATGAATTTCTCAGGGTGGGGTTCCGCCGCAGCCTCACCGTCGGCGGGCCGTGATGAAGAAGCAGCCTCTTTCTGCGGTATAGTCTTAGAAGTTTTCGCCATTAAAGAACATGAGAAAAGAGAATTAAGATAGTATGCAGATTGATAAGAACTCAAGAAATTTGGGTGCAAAAGTTGTAAAGCAAAGGGATTTTTGAAGAAAAAGCAAGAGTAGGAAGAGCTTTGAACGTAAAAGTTTGAATGAGAAAAAGCTACGGTACTTATAGCTTGCTGGTGATGGTTCAGAACCAGTAGTGGCCGACCAACGACTGACAGGCATTTAATACCTTGATAACTGGACCGACGGGATATTTCGAGTTGTTGCTTACGTCATGATTGGGTGTACCAGTGACGTTCGTCATTTACGTCATTACCCGTCGAGACAGAGCTCGGAAATTCATATCGTTTCTCGTCATCTCCTCTCTGGGAAACGAGGGGACTATCTGTATACGGTCAAAACCGGGCTTGCCCCTCGTATGATTGATCGAGACTAGAACATGATAGGGCAAGGTTCAAACCCGTGTTATATCGAACCATGGTGTGAAGTTAGATTGCCGAGCTCGTGACCCAGAAGATCGATCAAGATCAGCCAAGATCGAGACTGAGCAAGATCGAGACCGAGCAAGATCGATGCCGAGCAAAATAGAGATCGAATGAGACCAAGGGAAGCTTACCGAGCCAAACAACGAAAAACCAAAATATCCGCAATCGGACGAGGATCGCGGCGGAAATCCCGGCACCTATCAAGAAGAGGTCGATTAATTAGCCTATCATGAGATTCCTAACTGTATTTAGAATTGTATCAAGAGTAGGACTCTCCTATTATATAAAGGGGGTCTGATCATTTGTAAGACTCATCATATTTACGCAATACAAAGCAATATACTGCCTTCTTCTAACTCCCAATATCTTGCTACTCTGTTCTTATATCAATTGAATTTTTACTTGATTTGAGGGCGATCGAACCTGAGGGCCAAAGCTATTCGATTCGTTTGGTTTGTATTTATTTCTTTCACAGTCAATTTGAATATATATATTTCTCAATTTGTGTCAAGTTATATCACGTATCCTTAAAATCGCATATAAATTCAATTGTTATCCGTTTTTACGGTAAACAATAACTACTGAATTCAAGAAAATATATTTAGAACAAAGAGAATATTTACTCGCATAAGTTCATGTATTTTGGCAAGTTTTTCCTTTGAACAAGTAGAGACTGGTACTTAGTTGTTCGGTGCAGTTTTAATAAGTGCAAACCAAAATATAGCAAAGTCCACCGTCTAGATTAAGAAAAGCTTGATATGAAGACAGATGTAAATGCCACTTCAAAAGCGGTAAATGATTAGTCACCCAGCAAGAATAAACAGAAAGCAGGGAAAATTGCAATTAAAGGGGAACTGAATACTAGAAAGTAGGCAAGTCCTACTAAGTGGCTAGCGACTCCATAATTGATCAGAAAAGTTTATTCCTCTGTCACACTCAGCATTATAGATGGCAGAAATTCATGTCACATTTCATATGATTTGCCCCTTTTTAAGCAAAATAGTTTCACCAACTCACTATGCTTAATCACTAAGCAAAAACTACAAATATAGGAACTGAACTTTTAGAGTAATAGTACCAATAAATCTACTTACCTTCCACGAAAAATATTGATTTAATAATAGCATTCAGACCATCTAACCGGAAAATAACTTCCGGTACCGGCCAATATAAAAATGTCAAAAATAACAAAACTAATGAAATAAATGGCCAATACAAGAAGGACCTAACATACAGGTAGTAAGAACACATATATTCCTCTTCTTTTCTCCAACTTTTAGAATAAAATGGTAAAGAGAAAAATCCCATTTCCTCTTTTCTTGAAATTCGAGAAACAAAATAGTTGAACTTTTCTTTCACACATTCGGACTCCAAAGATTCCACAAACGCGAATTAAATAACCCTAACACGTCCGGCAACACCTTTCTAGCTAAACCCTTATGGCCGCCATTCGTCGCCGTTCCACGCGTCAGTATTGTAGTTTCCGGTAACGGCACCACCACATCCTTCACCTTCGACTCCTTCTCCTCCACCTCATTTCCACCATTTTCCGGCGAAAAATCAGTAACTTCTGGAAAAACACGAACAAAGTCATCTTCAACCTCATGAGGCAAGACTATTTCTTCTTGAATATAAGAATGTAATCCAGATGAAGGCGACTTCACAATCCCATTACTACGGCGAGAAATTTTGTCCCTTTTCTTGTTGTTACGGTTCGTGTTGGAGTAGTGTTCATTACTGCTCAAATGCTCCTCAAAAGCTTCAATGGCTTGATGAATTAACTCACGATTAGGAGAAGAGTCCCACTTAAACCAATAGCTAGTATAACAATCAAAACATTCGCAGTAAAAAACAGGGGATTTGTGGGTAATGAATTTCTTCTTGGAAACATTGGGAGAAGGGGTAGTGGGTTTGAGGGACCTAGTGACCATGTAAGCCAAGACCTCACGGTCTTCAAGAGAGAGGACTGAAGCTATAGCGAGAATAGCAGCAGGTAAGAGGTTTAGTACAGAGAGAGTGTCTCTGTTTGATGTAGAAGAAGGGGAAGGATGAACTTTACCTTTGTTTCTCATTTTCATGGTTTCTGGGTGGGGGAGAGTGGGTGGGTAGATGAGGTTTGATAATGATGAAACAAGGGTTGCGAATGTTTGATTGTAGTAATTTTGGGGGGTTTTGAGAGAAAGAGAGAAGGAAAATTGGTAGGGTTTGATTTTCTTGATGGGCACGGCAGAGCGGAAAAAGGTCACATTACCTTAAGGGCTCGTTTGGTAATATCCAAATGATTAATCTAAGTTATGCATAACATAATAGAGTATTAGATTGGTTTCATAAGAAAAAATAATCGAATAACTTATATAGTATTTATTTTATTTATTAAATAATATTTATGTAAGATAATCTCCTTATTATTAATCATTATGATATAAAATAAAGGCCGTAAAGTAAAGACAAGTATAAAGAGAAACTCATATATTACTCAAATTTCAAACTTATTTACTTAATAAACTGAAATCTCCTCTATTTATAGAAGAAAGCAAGTTGCTCTGTAAGCTTCTTCTGTACCAGATATAGATAATCTTCTACCGGGGATAATATTTATCCATAATGGAGTACCGAAAGAATAAGCTCATTATACCAGATATAGATAATATTCTACCGGTGGTAATATTTATCTATAGCGGAGTACCGAAAGGATAAGCTCGTTATACCAGATATAGATAATCTTCTACCGGGGGTAATGTTTATCCATAACGGAGTACCGAAAGGATAAACTCATTATACCAGATATAGATAATCTTCTACCGGGGGTAATGTTTATCCATAGCGGGGTACCGAAAGGATAAGCTCATTGTACCAGATATAGATAATCTTCTACCGGGTGTGATATTTATCCATAACGGGGTACTGAAAGGATAACTTTTTCATGAGACTTATTTCCAATAGAGTACTAAATAGATAAACATATTTACAGCGAAGTCTCATATAGATAAGCTTATTCAGGAAGCTTATTTTTAACAGGGTACTAAATGAACATCCGTAATATAATATATTTATAACACTCCCCCGTGGATGTTCATTAATAGATAATGTGCCTCATTAAAATCTTACAAGGAAAAACCCCGTATGAAAAAAATCTCAGTGAAGGAAAAAGAGTACACATATTTAGTAATACGCATAACTAGTTGTCTCATTAAAACCCTTATAAGAAAAACCCTGTGGGAAAAACCTTAGTAAGAAAAAAAATAGTATAACGCGTATTTTATTCCCCTTGATAAAAACCTTATTTCAGATATTTGAGTCTCCGCATTCCAATCTTGTATACCATCTTCTCAAAAGTTAAAGTTAGCAAACATTTAGTGAATAAATCTGCCGGATTGTCACTTGAACGGATTTGTTGTACATCAATGTCACCATTTTTCTGAAGATCATGTGTGTAGAATAATTTTGGTGAAATGTGCTTCGTTCTATCTCGTTTTATAAAACCTCCCTTTTATTGGGCTATGCATGCAACATTATCTTCGTATAAAATTGTGGATCTTTTATGACATTCCAAACCACATTTTTCTTGAATAAAATGAATCGTTGATCTTAACCACACACATTCCGTACTTGCTTCATGAATAGCTATTATCTCAGCATGATTTGAAGAAGTAGCAACAATAGATTGTTTTGTGGAGCGCCATGATATGACAGTACCTCCACATGTAAACACGTACCCCGTTTAAGATCGAGCTTTATGTGGATTAGATAAATAACATGCATTTGCATAACCAAGAAGATCTGCACTACCTTTGTTAGAATAAAATAAATCCATATCAAGTGTTCCCTTTAAATATCGCAATATATGCTTAATCCCGTTCCGATACTCCGTGTAGGAGAAGAGCTATATCTTTCTAGTAAATTAACAGAAAAGGCTATGTCAGGCCTTATAGCATTAGCAAGATATATAAGTGCACCAATTGCACTAAGATAAGGTATTTCGGGACCAAGGAGTTCCTCATCCTCTTCTGGAGGTCTGAACAAATCCTTATTCACTTCAAGTGATCGAACAACCATTGGTGTGTACTCAATGGGTGCGCTTTGTCCATGTAAAAGCGTTTTAAGACCCTTTCTGTATAGGCAGATTGATGGATAAAGATCTCGTCTGCTAAATATTCAATTTGCAGACCAAGACAAAGTTTTGTCTTTCCAAGATCTTTCATCTCAAATTCTTTCTTAAGATATTCAATTGCCTTTTGGAGCTCTTCTGGAGTTTCAACAAGATTTATGTCATCAACATAAACAGCAAGTATAACAAATTCTGATGTCATTTTCTTTATAAAAATACATGGACAAATAACATCATTTATGTAACCCTTTTTAAGTAAATATTCACTGGGGCGATTATACCACATATGCCCGGATTGCTTTAAACCATACAAAGATCTTTGTAATATGATTGAATACATTTTCTGAGATTTTGGATTTGCTTCAGGCATTTTTAAGTCCTTCGGGAATTTTCATATAAATTTCATTATCAAGTGAACCATACAGATAAGCTGTAACTACATCCATTAGATGTATTTCAAGCTTTTCATGTAGTGCTAAATTGATGAGATATCGAAATGTTATGGCATCCATGACAGGTGAATATGTTTCATCAAAATCGTCTCTAGGTCGTTGTGAGAATCCTTGTGCGACAAGGCGAGCTTTGTATCTTTCAATTTTATTTTTATCATTCTTTTTTCTCACAAAAATCCATTTATGACCAACCGGTTTTATACCGGCAGGTGTTTTGACTACTTGTCCAAAGACCTCTCTTTTAGCAAGTGCGTTCAATTCTGATTGAATTGCCTCTTGCCATTTTGGCCAATCAGATCTTTATCGACATTCTTCGACAAATCGGGGTTCAAGATCCTCATTATCTTGCATAATGTTAAGTGCAACATTATATGCAAAAATTATTATCCGCCATTATTTCAGACCGATTTAAATTAATTCCTTCACCAGTAGAACTTATTAAAAGTTTCTCACTCACTTGAATCTCGGGTTCATTGATTTGTTCCGGAATCTCAGAACTAATCAGATCTTGGGTCTCTTAAGGGGATCCCTTCATAGTATCGTTTTGATCATTTGCTATTTTTCTTTTTCGAGGATTTTGATCCTTAGAACCCAAAGGTATACCACGCTTCAGGCGTGCTTTAGGTTCACTAGCTCTCATGCTAGTAGATGGTCCTGTTGGGACACCAATTCGGATAGGCACATTCTCTGCAGGGATATGTGACTTAGTTATCCTTTTCAAATCAGTAAACGCGCCTGGCATTTGATTTGCTATATTTTGTAAATGAATGATCTTCTGTACCTCCTGATTACATATAGGGGTACATGGATCAAAATGGGATAATGATGAAACTTTCCATATAATTTTTCTTTTGATTTTCTTTTTCTCTTCCCCTAATTGTGGAAAATTTGTTTCATCAAACTGACAATCTGCAAATCAAGCAGTAAATAAATCTCCCGTCAATGGTTCAAGATAGCGAATAATAGAGGGTGATTCAAACCCAACATACATTCCTACTCTTCTCTGCGGGCCCATCTTCTTGCGCTGTGGTGGTCACATATACAACACATTCAAAAATTCGTAGACGGGAAATATTTAGTTCATGATTAAAAACTAATTGTGACAGAGAATATTTATTATAATATGTCGGTCTGAGACGGATAAGTGATCCTGCATGCAAGATAGCATGGCCCCAAACAGTAGTGGGCAATTTTGTTTTCATAAGTTGTGGTCTTGATATCAATTGCAGGCGTTTAATAAATGACTCTGCAAGGCCATTTTGAGTATGAACATAAGCTACAGGATATTCAACTTTTATCCCAACTGATAGACAATAATCATCAAAAGCTTGAGATGAGAATTCTCCAGCATTATCAAGGCGAATAGCCTTTATAGGATAATCTGGGAATTGTCCCCTTAATCGAATTATTTGGGCTAATAGCTTTGCAAACGTCAGATTGCGATATGATAGTAGGCACACATGAGACCATCTTGAAGATTCATCTATTAGGACCATAAAATATCTAAACAACCCACTTGGTGGGTGAATAAGTCCACATATATCCCTATGTATATGTTCTAAAAAGGCAGGGGATTCAATGCTAACCTTCATTGGTGATGGTCTAGTGATCATTTTGCCTTGATAACAAGCATCACAAAAAAATTTATTATTTGTAAGAATCTTCAGGTTCTTTAATGGATGCCCACTCGAATTTTCAGTAATTCGGCTCATCATTATTGATCCACGATGGCCCAAACGGCCATGCCAAAACACAAAAATATTTGAATCAGTAAACTTCTGGTTTACGATAGAGTGTGCTTCAACTGTACTAATCTTTGAATAGTATAATCGAGAAGATAAAGTTGGTAACTTTTCTACAATGCACTTCTGCCCAGAAACATTCTTTGTAATATAAAGATATTCCATATTCTTTTCATTTATCGTCTCAACATGATACCCATTTCGGCGGATATCCACAAAACTCAACAAGTTTCTTCGGGACTTGGAGGAGAATAATGCATTAACTATTATAAGTTTTGTTCCCTTAGACAGAAATATAATGGCTCTTCCGGAGCCTTCAATTAAACTTATATTACCAGAAACTATTAAAATATTTGCTTTTTCCTTATGCAAATAAGGAAAGTAAGTATTTCTGATCTTTGAATATTGCATGAGTTGTTCCACTATCAATTACACAAATATCTTCATGATTGGTCATTGATCCAAACATAATTTGAGGATTATCCATATTCTTCAAAATAACATAAACTAAATAAATATGATAGTAAACATCATTATCAAAACATAGCTTTTATTTATATATCTCAATTTGTGTCAAGTTATATCACGTATCCTTAAAATCGCGTATAAATTCAATTGTTATCCATTTTTACGGTAAACAATAACTACTGAATTCAAGAAAATATATTTAGAACAAAGAGAATATTTACTCGCATAAGTTCATGTATTTTGGTAAGTTTTTCCTTTGAACAAGTAGAGACTGGTACTTAGTTGTTCGGTGCAGTTTTAATAAGTGCAAACCAAAATATAGCAAAGTCCACCGTCTAGATTAAGAAAAGCTTGATATGAAGACAAATGTAGATTACTCCCAATGGTTCACTAGCTCTCATGTTAGTAGATGGTCCTGTTGAGATACCAATTCGGA